TGGCGTAAATGCCTCAAAAAATTTTTTTTCTGCTTTGTTTGCTTTTATGGAGACAGTTTCCATAGTACTGAGTGACGTGTTTAGCAGTGAACTGTTAATACCAAAAATGACATTCGTACTTATCCATGCACAGAAAGAAAAAAGAGCTGCACTACACAAAATTCTTATTGGTTTTGAATCACCCAATCTCACGTAATTTAGCCAAAAAAAGTCTTACTACCAAATTCACAGACGCCAGGCTGGAGCCTAAGGTAAAAGTAACACACAATATTTTTGTAGTTGATAAAAAATAATAAACTTACTTTGATACCATTTTTGTTAAGCGATAAAATGCTTGCCGTTTGGAGAGCTACTTTTGCCACTTCATTTACTTCATGATCAATTGCCATTGCTATACGATCCACCAGATGGGTATTTTCGGTAATTATTTCCATACACCGTTGATCTGTTGCGACACTACATATCAAACGAAACACTTCACATTTCGCTTGCAATGATATTTTCGGACCACATTCCAATAAACGAACTAAATTATTCTTTGAACATAAAAATGCGTGAATGAACTCAGGACACACTGCGCATTTTGCAAATGATGCTTGATATTAATGGAGTATGAATATACAACAAGCATTTCAAGTACGCCAAATTCGAAAATGAAAATCTTAATTCCAAACATAATGTTTTTAAGCCTGAAGTGTTGATTAAACAGATTTTCTGTTATAACATCACCTAGTTTACTTGAAAATCTATAGCTCCCAATACGCTGCACGTCAAACGTTAAATAATTAATAACTAAATAAAAGCTCAAACTTCAAATATACCTGTAATATTCGCAAAGTTTGCAGGTGGTTCGGCTAGCTGTAATGTGTTAACAGTAGAACATCATTTTGAAATGTAAGAAGTTTAAATTTCAAAAAAATGTCAATTCATGAAATTTGCAAACGATGAGAAGCAAAGCTCACCTCGTAGCACAAATACGGCATATTTCCATAGATATTTGTCAAAATGCACAAAACATCATTTAAAATCTGCAACCACTGCGGCCTGCAAATGCAAAAATTTTTATTAATGTATGACACTAGGTTTTATAAGTACCATATATATGCAAACTCAATAAGACTTAAATATACTTGATCTTATTAGAAGGGAATAATTCCAGAGAATAGTAATTCTAACAACAATGTTAGTTTTCTTTTTCCCCTATATCTTAACCGCATTTCAAGACATGGTGTTCTGCTTCAAGTAGTCAAAGACTTTTTTTATGATGGATGCATGACTGGACGCAAAAGTAATTTCTAGATACTTATTAGATGCAGTATAAGTGTCGCGTTTTTTTTCTTAAAATCTGATTCCAACAGAATTATAAACAAGATCGGTTTTTTGAAGTAATAATATTATAGTGGTCCTTCTTTGAATTACTCCAACTTATGCTTCTTCTTAAGCATTTTTTTTGGCAGCTTAGAAAATAAAACGAAAAAAAAACTTGCTGGTCATCAAAACTTTGCAGGGAACATCTCCACAGGACAGTCATCAGCGTAATCCCGATTCGTGGACATTTCCTCATTTTTGCTTTCAATTCATCGACTTTTTTTATTTCCTAAAAATTACTAGTTCATATTAATCAATTTACATTTTAATAACGTTTTACTTTGCAGTGTCTCTGTGGTAGACTAATCTCTGCGATTTCACGAAACAGCTATCATGGGATAAAGTGCAAGGGCAAGCACAATTTCCAGACATGCCAATTTGGTATAATGATATAAAGCTTTCTTCAATAATATTATCAACATCCAGGAAATATTAGTTAAAATTCAAAATTCGAATAGAGCCAATGGTAGCAATGACCAAATTTTCTAATTTTTTACAATGACCTCACTTGTCATTGATTAATCAAATGATGTAACCTAACTCGAAGACTTATTTAAGATAGATATCTGCTAATAATTGAAATATTTTTTAACCATTCATTTAATTTACTACTTACATATATTTGGAGACTCTCATATTTGTAATAAAAGCTAAACAAAAACAGTGGGAACCTTGAAGTCCAGCATGATATTCTTAATTTGTTTCAGATCATCTCCCAAAAGTATCATCTCCATCTCGTCCATCTCATCCGTTCTTCGCCGTTTCGGCATCGATGCCATTACCATATAATATACCCTGAAAATGAATATCACAAGGAATATTACGATTTACAAATATAATATAATCCAATAAATCTCCTTGTTTAGAACGCTATGCAATATATACAAGAGGTCATAAAGGCAAGATTCAAATGGAAGTACGCATCAAATAAGGGTAAAAGCATATAAAAAGGAATTCGCGAGCAGTAAGTTTAGTGATAGTGTATACATGTGTAAGAGTTACTTACAAATGAACACTTGCTCTTGTGACGCCCTCTACATAAAGAAAGCTTGCTAAAAGATTTGACGTATAGAGCTATAGCAGCGTATTGCAGAATTACGATGCAAGTGAAAAATGGGCACGACATATGAACACACCAAAATGCTACGTAGCATTAGGATAATAGTGCAGTACAGGATAAGGTAGGTGCAGTTGATGATTCCACTGAGAGTGCAACATGTATGTATCAAAAGTGCAGCCTGTTAAGTTTAATGAACTTTCATGACGTGGAAAAAAAACAGCACATTCTATTGCAAAAGTTTCATCTACGAAAACTTCTTGTCAACCAAAGATCACAGTGAAACGTGATGGAAGAAATGAACAAAACCTTTCAAATAATATCGCATCAAATAATAACAACGTCCTTCATAGTGCTACGAATTGAGAATGAATGCAACATTTTGAAATGTTCCGGGAACTTACGAAATTCAAATAAATTGCATTCCTGTAGAGCAAGGGATTGCATAATGGAGTGTAAATAGCATGATGCAGTGGGAAAGTATGCACTGCACATTGCATTTTATCTCCAACTAGTATTATTATGTCTCAATGCAAGAATAGCATGCAAATTTGAAAAAGTAAACTGAAATGTATACTATTGGAACGATACATGTTAAGTATGTTTACGTTGCAGTTACTTCTGCAAACTTCATGCAAATCTTGAAAACTGTTTGCTGAACATATACATGTGAAAAAAGGAAACAAGGTGCAAACACGGAATAGTGTGTGCAATAAATAATTTCACCAAAAAATTACTCAACAATTTTAAAATTTGCAATTGCAAATATAGGCACATGTGTGTATGTTCATGTGTGTGTTTGTGTTTATATGCGCGACACGTGCGTTCACTAGAATATGTGATCATATGCAACAATATTTGATTCCATATACATGTACATGGGCACATACATCCACGTATATGTTAATAGAAATATCTATTATCTGCATCAGCACACACGTACATCTATCCACATATGTTTACGAAGTCTATACTCATACGGAAGTCTATCCTTTTCACGTACGTAGATACACTCAAGTGGATGTACGACGCATATACCGACTCTCCCATACTCTTCAAAAGCTTATCGATCGTATTCGGGAAGATAAACTGCCCACCCGCACACACACACACACAGACGCATACATGCACGCACGCACACACACATACACACACACACAGCATGCACATCAACAAAGAACATTGCAGCGCAATTCAAATTGCCGCCAAGTGGCCGCGACGCAAGACATGTATTTGCACTGGATGTGGTGCGTCGCGTTTCTGTATGATATGCGCGAATGGTTGAATCGGGCGTGTCTTGTAGTTGCCGTTTGCTTCTCACATGTACTGCGAGATGTTTGTTGCGTGAACTTGACGTAAACATAATAGAAAGTTAAAACGATGAGAGAGCATTTGGTAACGAGTTGTTCTAACGTAAAAGTTAGCTTCATGCGAGCGAGTGAGGAGCGAATAAACGGGCCAGGAAATGCTGACAGGGCCGTTTTATCTTCTTCAATTTACCGCATTCATGTATGTACGTAAGGGAAAGTTTGTTAGATGGAATTGTAGTGAAATTGAAACAGTACTACAGCAAGTTGTCCTACAATAACGCTTTGGGGGAAAGATCCCCGAAATGACGGGAAATTATGTAGGAATTACCTAGCATCAATCTTCATTCGTTAATCGGTGGTGATAGAAGTCATAAGTATGGTAAGATGCGAAATTAGAATTAGTTTAATTTTAACTTGATTGATATTTCCCATACTTAATCGAATTGTTTACAGTTACGATTTCAGACTTTTCTTACATCGCAGTGGGCTGATTTATTTCCATGTAACTGTTTGTCGTGAAAACTATATTTTAAAAAATTAAATTGGTATTTTAAATAAATAAAAACCGTATTAAAGGGGTGTAAGCAATATAAGGATCGATTAGAAGATATAGCAGACAAATGAGAGGTTTTATTATGCTTTACTGATATCATATGGAATACAGTCGTATAGTTCAGATGAACTATGATACACAGGAAGAGTTTCGGAATGTTTTTTTTGCAGAAAGAATACCACCATGAGCGGAGCGAAGCGTAAGACTTGCATGAGAGAGGAAATGTCATTGATTATCCCTAAGAAGCATGGACGACGTTCGCGTAACGTTAGGGAAGAATTGGATGATGTAATGTTTTTCGTTTTTTACATTTCTTTTCTACGATGATTATAAGCGTTAGATATTTGTTTATCGCCTAACAAATTTAATTCGAGGAAACAGTATGCTGCGATGTACGTTTGTACTCACGTAAATGAATATATAAGTGATGTTAATTTTGTGTATTAAGGAGTCATTTATTTAAAATTTAGTTACTATAAAGAATAATTATCAAAATATCGAGCATTAAGTCCCTAATAATTTGGATGACGGTATTCGTCCTAAGAATCTTGTGTTTTCACAGGTTACGTGAATTAAGCATGGGTAAGCAATCGTTAGACACTTGCTGCCAGTGTTAAGTTGTTGAGCAGATTCAGTGAGGTTGAATAAATAATTGAAATTATGACTGACGAAATAATTGCTCAAAATATGTAGTAAGCAAGAGAAATTACATGGGAAAGTGTTGAAATAATTGCTTCATGCCTTCATCATGTAGCTTTCCGATGTGTCGCAGTGTTCTTCTTTCCGTTATTTCTTTGCAGCTTTAATTTTAAGTTTAAACACACAGTTGTTGGGAAGTTGTGTTAATTTAATGTGATGAAGGTAGGAAGCACATGAATTCTTGATTTTTTGGATTCAAATTTTAAATTCTGAAACATAAATTTAGTTGCGACAGTGTGCTGAGCTGGTAGACGCTTTACGTAGCTACAGGACTGCCGACAATCGGATACTGTGTGAAAGTTTCATTCGTGCACCATCTCGCCGGTATGAATTTACCAAAACTTATAGAATTCTGTAAATTCTAACAATTTAAATTAATTCCTCCTGAAATTATTGTTTTTAGCACGGATCCAAAATATTTTGACGTTGTTACACATCCGATTGATTTAACAAGGATTCAACAGAAAATTAAAACCGAAGAGTATAGTACAGTCGAGGACCTTTCAGCAGATATCCGTCTGTTGGTCAATAACAATAAGACTTATTACAAGGTTTAATTTCTGATTTGATCTAGATTTCAAGTTGATGTTTTAGTCTTTTGTATCGACTTTTATGTTTTCCACAATTTAAAGATCAAATGAAAGGTATCATGAACTAACTAAGTTCTGTGTTCGGTAATATTCACCGTAATCACTACGAGGCTTACTCTGGCAAACATTAGGACGATCCTAACGGTTCTAAAATACATAAAGTTCATTTTCAATTCATCCGTAAGTTCATGATTCAGGAGGGCAGTCAAGAGTACAAAGATGCTTGTGAATTATGGGAATTATTTGAATCACAGAGGAAAGAAATGCTTGCAACTACTTCCGTTGCAGAAATGGAAGAACAGTTCGGGTTTTTTTGCATTGCTTTCAAGTTGATATAAATAATACTGTAGAAATATTTTTGATATCATAGAAATTGATTATTGCAATTCTTCGCAGAAATAAATTTCAGCTGTTATCGGCAACGGTTCAATAGAGCGTGATGTAATTTTGAGTTGCAAAGTTCCAATACAGTTATTTGTAGTGTTTCCAGTTTGAAAAGCTTCCTAAAATAATTTTTAATATCTTAATTTCTTTTGTAAGAATTTGTAGTGAAGGTAAGAACTGCAATACTTTTTAGTGGTTTGAAAATTTCCGAAGCTACTATAACTATTGCAGCCAGGAGGATACAATAATTGAGGCAAAACATGATGTGGTTCCAACTAATTTACTGGAAGAAATCATTGTCTGCACTCTGGAGCTCACAGATGAAACTGGCCGTTTGCTCAGTCCACCTTTCCGTGTTTTACTTTCTCAAGAAGTCTGTTTTTGCATAGATTCTATTTCTGCACACATTTCAATTTAATTGTAGTTTTTTAAATTGGATACAGTTTGTAACGTTACTCAATATTGCCGCCAAATGCATTCTGATGATAGTTGATAGTCTATACTCTTTGTAAATGTGAAAAACTTTTGCTCTTCCCACACCATTATTATTTTTCGTGGGGTATAAGTTTTAAATACAAATTAATTCAAGGAATTTCCTACTTATTATGATCGAATCAAAAAACCAATTGATCTCAAACAAATAACGATAAAGATTCGCTCTGGCGAATATCGTACTTGGCAACAGTTTGATGCCGATTTTCGATTAATGTGTAAAAATGCAAAAGCCTTTAACGAATTGGGTTCGGTGATTAGTAAGGTTTGTGTAGTATGTGCCTTTTTGAATTTCATTTCATCATTTATATCCATCAGTAACAGCAATCACTATATAAAATTTCAAATCACTGCACAATTTCACATACGTTTCAAGCAGCAAGGCAGCAGAAGCTTTTTTTTTCATAGTAGCAGTGGTGAGTCAAATACTTAGCAATGGAATTACTTATCGCTTTTCTCTGTATTCGTGAGAGTGATTATGACACTTATCGAATAGTACAATTTAAAGATTGAAGTTATAAAATTTTAAATCATACAAGTCGTCGTAACTCTCCAAAACTCTACATGTACGAGGTTTTTGTTATAGGATGCTTCTATGTTGCTGAAAAATTACGTGAAACGTAAGGCAGAATTATGTAATTCCAAACACAAGCCATTGACAAATAAAAGGTTGGTTCTTTGTTTGTTATTTTAATATAAAGCTGGTTTTCTTTTATGTGCAATTTGTTCGAAAAGAAACGGAAGTGAAAAAGGATTTTAGGATCAATGCAAATAAGCAAGTTCTGGATGAATTGTTAACGCAGGATGCTACAGCTAATTCGAGTGAAGAATATTCAGAAGATTCAGAGGAAGATGAAGATTCGGAACGTAGCAGTGAAGCAAAATGGGTACTGTATTGGACAGTTCGTAATGTACCCAATCCATTTGATCCAGAAACTAATTTAGCAGATCCATTTTTGAAGTTACCGAGCAAAAGGTTAGTTCCGAAATAATGAAATTTATACTTTATAAATCTTACCGTACACTTTCCTCCATCTAACTTTATCCATGAATTTTTGAAGCAGCAATCATTTGTTTATTCGTTTTCTTATAACTCTATTCATCTGCTCTTTGCATGTTTAGTTACCACCTTTCACTGAGATGAATTTGGAATGCGTCTTGACTTATTCATTCTTCATGTTTTTAGCTGGTATCCAGATTATTTTGACGAGATTTCGGAGCCCATGTCTCTTTTTATGATAAATAAGAAGCTAAAACGTGATGAATATCGTACATTGGAAGAGCTTCTGAAGGATATCGTGATCATTTTTGAAAATGCCAAGACGTATAACGTTGAAGGTTCAGATATTTATGAAGCGGCGGCAAAGCTAGAAAGGCTGGCAAAATCTAAGGCTCGAATGTTGCAAAAAGTAAAATATTGTTTTTATCTGTATCATTTAGTAGTGGTCTAGTTACATCATTAATGAGCGTTAAAGGCTCTGAATTTAAGAGACGAAAAGATGACCGAACAATGAAATGTAAGATGTTTCTAGATGAAATTTAGTTAAGTCGAAATCAAATTTTGTTTAATTTGTAAGACCTAAATCTTTTTTCAGACCATTAAAGCAAACGAAACTGAAGAAAAGATATTTAAAAAAAGCGGACAATCGCCGACTGTTACCCGATCTGTCTGGAAAAAATTGCAAAAAATAGGAAGATCAGCATCTACGGGATCTCCAGGTTCTGGCTCTAAGCCAGAATCATCCGGTGTTATATCGTCGTGTGTTGAAAGCTCTGAGTTTAGAAGACGAGGAAGTGGCCGAGGGTGGGATGATGAAATGTTAACAGCTTTTCGGACCAAATTGACAAGTTTATGGAACGCTGTTTACGATCATATGGTAATTCCTATGTGTCGCATGTAATCATTTATATAATCAATGGATTTTTATATCGCATTAATTGGTAATACTACAAAGAGATTGATAATAGGCAAAGCAATTAATCTCGTACATCGATTGAATATTATTGTTGCTAAATCTTACATGGTAATTTTCACATTGTCGATGCTGAACAAAAGTTCATAACTATCAGCATGCAAAAAAAAAATAAATTTGTAGGATGGTAAACGACGTGTTGCAACTGCGTTTGTGTTCCTACCATCAAGAAAAGATTATCCAGAATATTACGATCATATTGAAAAACCCATTGACTTAACTACGATCAAGCACAAAATTGAAACTGATCAGGTAGGTGATTTAGTCTCAACACTTCCAGATTTTGTTTTGCTGACTAAATGAAGCTTTGCTCATTTTTACGGTACATTTATGATGATGTGTTGTTCGTTATTTCGTGAAGTGCGGTTTCTGATACCAAACCAGTACACACTTGAGTAAATGTTCCTGGAAGTTTGTTAAATTTCTCATCGCGCATAAGATTTTCATCATGAGGACTTCGGAGAGTTCGTAATGAACTCTTATAGTATGAGATTGGAAAACAAAAGATATTTTTGGAAAGAATATGGATGTGGAAGGAGTACATGTGTGGTTTGAATTCTTTAAAACTTAATTTTGCAGTCCACAGTTGAAGATTTATTTTGATTTCATCGCCATACAGCTAAGCTGTATGTATTTTAGTTTCACTTTTTCCTGAAAGTTGCTTCGGTAAAATGTGGATTTCGATCACAACTCTTTAATATCTGTTAAATTAAAGTTGTAAAAAACAGGTCATGAAATAAGTAGCTTTTATTTTAGTACACTTCAACTAGTGATTTTATGAAAGATATGGATTTACTTGTCCACAATGCTTGGGATTTCAACGAGCCTGGTTCACAAATTTATCGCGATGCAACAACGCTACAGTCTGTTGTGCGCAATGCGCTTGGTGCAGTTTCAGCGTTACCAGTCTCCAATTCTAAATATTGTAAAAGCAAAATTAGGTAGGCTGAATTTATGCTTGTCAGTTTATTTTTCGCGAAGTTTTGCAGGTTTAATCTGTCTAAAGCTACTTAGCTTTCGAAAAATATCTTCAAGCCCTTTACTGCTACCAAAATTAATTTGTTGATGAAAAGGCAATGATAATTATTTTCAGGTTGATGAAGCCGAATTTACCGAAGAAGCGTAAACACTGTGGTGGAGGTGGTGAAAGTAGTAGATGTAGCGATCTTGATCTTGAAAGTGACCTTTCTCGGTAAAATCTTTATTTCTGTTTGAGAAATTAGATATTAGGTATTATGAGATGAGAGCAAAGCATAGTACTGAAAAGTGACTGTCATTGGGGAAAGTTCGAGAGTCACTGTCACGGAAAATAAATGTTACGTTATTGCTTGCAAACGGAAAACAGTATATATTTGTAATTTTTCGTCAATTGCTCAACTATTTATCTTTTCAGCTGTCCATTTTGTTTAATTTTAGTGGATCAAATATGTCGGTATCTGAGGCCTTTCTTTCACGCATGAATCTTTCGGACAATCTTCGTTCTGCTTCACCTTCTTGTAGTACTGTATATACGAACATGACGCCTGCAGCATCGCCTATGAATGTTGCCAAAACGGGTCGTGGTACTCCGCGGAGGATGTTTGGGCCTACTTCTGAATTCGATTTCGATAAGATCAAGTTGTATGAATTATATAATCTCATAAGGAATCACAAAGATGAACGCGGACGTGAACTATCACTTCCATTTTTACAATTGCCATCGAAATTTGTAAGTTTTAACTTTGAAGTCAACAATTTTTATATTGAGTCTAAGTTCTAAGTTTAAGATAACAATTTTTATACTGGGTCTAAGTTCTAAGTTTAAGAAAATCAAATTTTCGTTCGAACATATTAATTTGTGGCGGATAAGCAAGAATAATTTTTTCAGGATTATCCTGATTATTATGATGTAATCCGTAGACCAATTGATCTTACAAAAATCCGGAATCGAATCACGTCAAATTATTACGATTCAACTGATGCTTTAATTAGTGATTTCAATTTGATGTTCGATAACGCCTGCCGTTATAATGAACCGGAGAGCATGATTTATAAGGTGCCTTTTCATTATTAACCAAGTTGGAAAGGCACTCCTATGTAGACCGACTAAGGTCTTGTAATCCATATCGTGAGCATCAGTGCTTTGATAGTAGGTAATGTGAATCCCAAAAGCTGTCGTTTAATAACTTTTGGTATGCACTTGCGTCAGCATTGAGAACTATACTGCATAACAGCGCGAGCAAACATATTATTGTCTTTTTTGACCATTGTGAATCTAAATAATAATGGCTGATCACCTTTTAGAATCTTGAGTACCAAAAGTTTTATTTATTGAACATTCATATTTCAGGACGCACTTTCACTGCAAAAACTAATTTTGTTAAAAAAGCGCGATTTATGCAAAGATAGCGCATCAGCAATAAATGTACAGTCGGGAGTTCGAGCTCTTCTTGCCTCAATTCTTATTTCAGTTAACAATCATCAGGTATTTTGCATTCAGTATCATAGATTGTAAGGATCGGCTAAAGAATTGCAAGTTAACTCCGAAAATACTGATGCGCGATTAATTCATTCATACTGATATTTCGTCATCTATCAGTGTATTGAATTGCCCACTTTGTTACCGTAGTACAGAGATGTGCGCAGTATTTACAACTGTATGCATTCAAAAGCATCGCATTGCTTTTTTTAATTTTAATAGCTGATTCTTCTTTTTTATTTTAAAATTGCTGTAGGACTCTGATGGCCGGTGTTTCTCCGATTCGCTGGCTGACTTACCAGGAATATTACGGAGAAAAGGCATTGATTCAGAGAACATTCCATTTTCAATTGATGAAATGAAAAGAAATGTTGATAAGGTAGATATCTTTTTTTTCTCATTTATAATCAAATTTCTGTTTCACTTATATTCAGATCTTTTAAAGGTTTGCAGGCTTATGTATCTTGTATCATTCTGAGTTTCAAGTTATATTTGCAATATATTATTGCCAGGATAATATATATAGATTGATGTCAGAGTACTATGTAAGAACCATTGCTGAGCTGGAGCCTGCATCAGTCAGTCCATTATTATAGCATTATCTGCAAACTGTTTCATGACGAATAACGTATTTGAGATGCTGGAGATAATTTTGCAGTTTAAGATGGTTTTGCACTTTTATTGTAGCTGTACACTGAAGCCTAATTATCAGAGTAGACTCTCACCATTAACTTACACGGGAAAGTCGACTCACGATGGCATTCAATATTGAATTGTAGAATAATTAAGAAATAGAGATAGTCTTTTCCATACACTTGATTATTTTTTGCAGCTCACATCTAAACATTTGGTAGAAGGACATCACAAAAAAATAGAATGCGTGATTCTAAAAACAATTGTACATTTCATTCCAAACTCGGAAGAATTCCTATAAGTTTCCAAAATATTCGCTAGGTAGTTGGTAAGAAGCTTTTTTTCTTCTCCAGAATTACATGAATGTGTAGTTTTGCAGGGTCGTTATCGTCGATTGGATAAGTTTCAAGACGATCTCTTTTTTTTGTTCAATATAGCAATGGAACATGCTCATTCCGATTCTCAAGTAAGTTCAAAGGCTGTAATATGGAGTAAAAGACCTCTTCAATCTTTTGACGGCAGAAGCATTCCTCAAAGTTACTGTACTGCTCCACATAAAGCCGCAACTTACTGGTTGAATTATTCGACATATTTTAGTTCAACTGAAAACAGTACTAATGATTAATGATTTTAAAGAAATTAGTTAAAACTTGGTCGTACAAACGTGAAGAATTTCGTGTTTGTATGACTAAGTTTCGCTCCATACTGATCTGATTACTTGATATTGTAACTAAGTTTTGCTCCATACTGATCTGATTACTTGATATTATGGAGAATGAAAAGTTCTCTAGTTGCAGAGTAAATAAAGGTCGGAGAACGATTTTCCATCTTTAACGAGCTGCTAGGTTTTATTATCCTTAGTTGGAATCGAGTATATTTGGTTCTTTGTTCTCTTTCGGCTGTACTGCTGATTTGTCTTTTTAGCTTGAATTCATTTTGAATATAGGGACATTTGATATTCTTATTTTTGTAAAGGTTAATTTTTGCCTTGATTTTTCAGGTTTTTGAAGATACGGTCGAGCTTTGGATGTATTATCTGAAAACGCGTGATGATCTTACACGTTCTACGCTGCTATCTCCTGCTCGTTGGTATACCGAAAAAATGCTGTTTACGCATGTGGACAACATTCGAAAACGTAAATTGTTGGAAGAAGCGAAAGATGACGAGGAAAATAAAAAGTCTGAGACGTTGGGGCCAAAAGCGGTCAGTTCTCTTTTTAAGAAATGCGAAGTTATAAATTGATCAATTTTAATTCAAAGAAATTTAACTGAAAATAGAACGCAAAGCTTTTTTCAAACTTTTAAGGCTTCAGAAATTTGGATTTTTCATTATTTTTGTAAGATTTAAAATCTCGAAGTTTTTGGTCAAACAAGAGCAAAGTAGTGTTAGTTATTTCCTTATCAGAACAAATATATCTATGATTTTTATTGAAAATGAAATCCATGCTGGTGGTCGACTTAATAAAGCTACTATTAAAGTTGTTATAAGTATTAAGAAGTAGTGAATAGTCTGCAATCGTTTATCTGTCCAATTCGTTGATTTAAAATTTTGTCTTGTGCTTTTTTGAGAAAATGATGTGTTATGGAGAAAAAAACTTGAGTAATGAAACGATTCGAATGGTTTAATGCGGAAACAATTTTTAACGAAATTCAGAATATTTAAATCAAATAGCAACAAAATAATTAGTAGAAAGTTTGAAAGAGATTGTATATTAGTGTTGCGAATACTGAATTGATTTTAGAGTAAGAATTTCCAAATATAAGTTATATTTTTAATTGGGCAGGGGATTTTCAGGATAGTGACATCGTCCTAGATTCAGCTGGACAAGGTGGGATCATTTATCGAGTAAGTGATTATGCATACGTAGCACCAGCAAGTGAAGAGACAGTCTCACAACGGCATATTATGAGAATTGAACGATTGTATCGTGATAGTGATGGACAAACGTTTGCGCGTGGTACTTGGTGTTATCGACCGGAAGAGACATTTCATTTAGCTACCCGAAAATTTTGTGAAAATGTTCGTTTTGTCAGTTTACGACCGGAAATATTGGCTCAGTTTATTATTTAATTAAGTTTACGTTTTGTTTGCTATCATATTAATTTTAATTATCTTAATACATTGGCGTTGACAGCTTTTCGAAAAAAGGTTTCTTCAGGAAGTATTCCTCACATCCTATTACGATACAGTAACAGTGGATCGTCTTGTTGGAAAATGTCACGTTATGCCGATTCGACAGTTTATGAGACAAAAACCAAAAGTATTCACTTTGAACATTTTAAACAGCTACTGGTGATTATTTTTTTGATCGGAATTTCTTATATTGAGATTATAAAAACAGGAATTGCTATTTTCTTTTATTCTATATAATTTTTTGAAACTGAGTACGCCTCTCTGTTCTTAAGAACTGTACATATTTCATACATATTTGAGCTAAATATGAGTAGCGTATGCATGAATCCAGATCATACAAGAATTTGTCAAATTAATAAATCGCTCTTAATATTCTGCAATGTATTTCTATTTTAGGGCTTTGAAGATAGTGATATATACGTATGTGAATGCCGTTATATGGGTCGACAGTTGCACTTCAAGAAATTGAAAGTAATTATCAAAAATGATGCTTTTATATTTCACTTAATCTGTATTAACTTTTAATTTCTTCATTATGATGATTCACTTCAACAAGGAGTAACATGTTCATATATCATCCATTACAGCACTGGCCATACCAATCGGAAGACGAAAAAGTGGAATATGTAAAACGAGAGAAACCTCTAACAGTAATAAAACGTGTCACATCAGTGTTTGCAAGTCGGAAAGCATTTCAGACTCATCCAGGTGTGGTAGTCGGCACAAATGACGATGTAATTTTTTGAAATTTCACACAAAAAAAACTATAGGTAAAATTGTTGTCTTTATCAGGCATAAATTTACTACGCCATCGTAAGACTGGAACCATTTGTAAAATAATTTTTAGATGAAGTTAAATAGAAAGAGTGAACTCCTTTTGGAACTCGAAATTTACGTGTTTTTTAGATGGCTATATTAGTCATTCATCTCACGATTGTCTAACATTTATAAATGGTTTTGTTTACTTGTAAATTTTCACTTTTTTAGGAATCAGTTGATTCCGTTTCATCTTTGGAGGACGATCGTCTGAAAAAATTACCAGCAGTATTGGAGAAGGAAAGAGTGGAAGTTGTATGTAGTGGTAAGTTTTTTTGATGGTTTGTGATTATTTTTAGTTAGCATTTTAAGATATTGTGGCGAAGAATTCTATTTCAGAAATCTGGTAGGTTCAAGTCACATTTAGGGATGAAAATACGTGTTTTATATTTTAAAAAAAAAATCAGAAGCTTCCTTCTATGAAGAATTACTAGTATGACATCAGCGAGGAAAAAAATAGATGTTGAAATAAATGAAATGTTGAAAGAAAATAGATAAAAATAAATGTATGAAAAAATAAATGTTGCAGTTAATCATTTATCTTCAATATAAGAGTGAACTTCCCTTGAAAAAAGGGATCCGCAGTTAGAAAACTTTTCCGTTTAATCATTATTTATCTCTTCGTCTCACATACATCCCACATACACCCTGGTTTTTATTGCTTTATAGTTTTAAATTCGTTTGGAGCTAAATGCAGTATATAATTTAATATTAACCGTGTGCTAAATGAAGAGAAAAAAATATGCCAAAAATGAATTCGTTATTAAAGATGGTTGTGGTAGCATAAGATATCTTTGACTCTGTTAATCCTTTTCTCCCACTAATAAAATATAATTTTTCATAAGCTAAGAAAATAATTTTATTCTAACTGTTCTTTTCTGGATTCTTTTTTTTTCCAATTCTGGATTCTAGATGTGCCAGAAGTTGCCAATAAATCGACGACCTTTTACGAACAAATGCAATACAACGACCGTTGGTATCAGTTAGGAGACTTCGTCTATGTGTATAATCCTTTGAAAAATCGAAATGCCATACTACGGGTTGATAAATTGTGGAAAACAGTTGAGTAAGTAACACTTTTTCATCGCTAAGTTCCACATAACTTATTTTTTGCTTCTACAGAGCTTGGTAAGGATGTCAAATTTATTTTCGGGAATCCAAAAATTTTTAGAGGTGATGGATTTTTCTCTGGACCGTATTTTGCACATCCTCGCGAAATCAAACATGAACCGGCACGAATGTTCTATAAAAAAGAAGTATTTGCCGTCGACCAGCCGGATATAACTATTCCATTGGAAAATGTTCAAGGATTTTGTGCAGTCATGCCTGTTAAAGAATACACCAAAGGTTACAATGCGTTTAAATGCTTAATGGATATATATCGCACTTGTACTGCGTGTTTTTCATCTGTAACCAAACTAGCATGTTAGGTGTAATGCTACTTGATGCTTAGAAATATTGTGGAGATTTTCGTATACATAAAAATTTCCATTACCAAATTGTTTGCAAGAAGAAAATTTTTAATGTTAATTTCTAAAATCACATAAAAGCTTAGAAATCTCAAAGAGTGTAGGACTTTTTCGACTAATTTAGTTATTACTTGAAATCATTTTAAATATCTGTCATTAATTCTGATTCACATCGTATTCTTTTAATAAGATTAAAAATGTTTTAGAATCCATGAAATTTCCGAGCATTTTTCTTTTTTTAGGACGACCAACGGAAATTGATGAATCTGATGTATATGTTGTGGAAAGTAAAGTACGGGGTTATGAATATGGTGGGAAACGGTGCAGTTTAACAGGTTGCAAATCTTCGCACAACACATCAAAAAATGTTGCAAATGACTCCATAGCAGGATCGACAAATGAGCAAAAGACATCACTTAAAGCTGATATGGATCACTTACCGTCAATAACAAAAACGACAGATTTCCATTCGAATGTTCCATCTACTTCTAAAGGCGTTGTCGAACAGCCTGGTATTATTACGAAACTGGGAACTATTTCGAATTCGTTCTCGAATATCTCTGTAGATGATGATAGCAGCAGTGGGTCCAATCAGGCTGCAGGCACCATGCGTAACACTCCTACTTCCGTTGATCAAGAAGAACCCATGAATGATGCATATGCTAAAAAACTGAAGCAGTCCTTAAAGGTAAATTTAATTCTACAAATGAATTCTCATCTTCACATGTTTATTTCTCTTCTCTGAGATGAGATCTTCCGGATCCTTTTTTCTTTTTAAGTAGGTAAGATTTCTCGTGAACGTGAGATAAGCAAAGATAAATGATAGAGCAGAGCGATTGACGCGATGACACCCGTTTGACACTAACTGTAACAGATGTGGCAATAAGTCTCATTAGATGAAAGGAGGAATTAGTTCACATAGAGCAGACTTTGTTAATTTACTAATATCACTTCGGCATTATTTTAAGGTAATTGTAGCATTCATTTAGTTTAAATTTAAGATTCTAATAAACAGGCATCTCATACCAGGCCGTGGTTTTATTTTTAATTTTCCGTATCTTTCCTGCAAGCGTGATATCGTGCTCCTCCAAGTTTATAGTATAGACTCATTTGTATCGTACCGGTATTTCCTTCAATAAGGAGCCAAGTAATAATGGAAAATAGATATGTTAGATTGTTTCGCCATAGCCAAGCTATCGCCAGTTGCACAATTTCATACAGATGGGCAATTGTTTGAAATGTTGTGTGAAGCGCGCGCTCGCTGTGGATAAATTCAAGGGAAATTGAAAATGAAAGGGAGAGAGAGAGAGATTTTATAGGGTGTGTGTACACATGTGTCTCCTTGTGTGATGTGGGAAAATAATGCGGAAGGAGTTAATGAATGTCGGGCAAATTAGTACCTCTGACTATGCACATATACCCAACATTGGCTGGATCGATATTCGTGAAATAGAGCACTCGGAGATAGCAGTGAGACTGCGTGTGGTACTTACAGAATAATCTGAGATTTCGATATGAATCAAATCATTATCTATGATATCATCAGCATATGATGCTAGTTTGAGGAAGCTGAAGTAAAAGCGTTGAGATTCTCAAACGGCAACACAACGGCAAATTTTCGGCACAAACATTGCGTGTTAACGGAAGATGTGGATGGAGGAGAAGGAAAAGGGTCGGTGCTGTTGACGGGTCGTGTAATCGACAGGAGAAGAAATTTCGTCATAGAAAGAGAGAAGGAGAGGGAGAGAAAGGTAGGAAAGGATGCAATTGACGAGGTATGGTGTAACCGAAGAGATACATGAGAATTAATTTCTTCTCACTGTTAGAAAGGAGAAAGGAAGAATATCTCTGTGGATGCCTCTCTTCATAGAGAGCATGAAGAAAGATGGGAAGAGGTATGTTGTTAACAATACAACAACTATCGACGATGTCCCGGCACATCGCATCGCATCGCACCGCATACACACTACACCATACACACATGTATACACACACGAGGCCTTCCATGTGGTGGTATGGGTGGTGTGTCCATAGCAGTCGTGTACTGCCTTGAGGACGAGCCTATCCTTTTTAGCGAAAAGTACCCAGGCTTGTCTGTGTGTATCCATACACAGACATGTACGCACACATACACACGACAGATAGCGATAGGACAGATGATGTTAACGGGTGTTGTTGACGTTGGCGCATAGCTGATCCAAACCATGGTGTACGACCAAAGATGTTGTTACCGTCTGGGACAACTCGTTAGGTGCGCATTTAACAGCACCGTTGCTACCGCTACTACCCATCGCTGTTACCATCGCTACCACTACAACCACTACTACCGCCTAATGCTACCATCAGCTGAAGCGATATCTGGATGAACTGCAGTAGAGTCGCCTTCATCTCCAAGCTTACCCGTTCCCCTTCTCCCCTCATCCCCGCCACACCGTTTCCATTCCTCTGCCTTCCTCCTGCTGCTACAACTATCATTGGCAAGAGTGGAAGGAGCAGCAATCTTTTCCATGCGACACGGCGGCACTTTATAATGAGCCGGCCGGGCAATAAGCAGTGGCAACAACAAAAACAACAATAATAATAGTAGCAGTGGTAGCTGCTGTCAGTGAGTTACCAGCTTCCAGCACCGTGACCTGTAACCGATGCAACCAGCGGTACTGCTTTAGCATCCTTGTTGTTGTTGTTGTTGTTGTTATCGTTATCATCATCATCATCATTGCCTGATGGCAAATCAAATACGACGACTGATGTAGCTATACTAATTTGTATGGTATATTGCTATATATATATATACAAGCTGCTGATATCTTGTATCGTATATTGCTACAGTTTCTATCTATACATCTCATGTATGTATATTATATATTTTTTCATGATATCGAAGTTCTTGTTTGCGTATAGGTCAGAATGTCTTTGTTTTCCTTTTTTTTTTTTTTTTTTTTGTTTTAATTATTCTTAATATAGCAGTAATTGTTGTAGGATATTACTATTAATATAGTTGAAATGAAAAATGATAGCTATTGTGAAATGTTAAATAGTAACAATGTTGTTTAGTATAATGAAAGTACAAAAATTTAGATATTGTATAAGTGTGACTTTATATGTCACTTTGGTGCCGCAAGTTGTTTATCATTCATGTATACTACAAAATATCACTAGAAATAAAATTGTAGTGTAGTGGAGCACATGACGAAATGTTTCATAGTTTATGAAGTAGTGAATTTGATAGTACAGTATAGTATACATATTGTAGAAAGGTTTATTGGCTGCAAAGTAATAATTAACCGATGAGATTACATGTCGCGTATTGCTTGAGGATACTGTATGATGGTTATAATGGTTAGAGAGTGTGAAAGAAAGTTTCACAGATGAAGTATACCACAAGATGAACGGATTTTATTTTGATATAAGTGACGAATCATTGGGATTAAGTTAAAGGACAAGTTCATATCTTTTTTTATTTTATCTTTTATTTTATTAAATCACTTTTTAGTTTTTACATCTTTACAGATTCATTTATGACAAGATAATGATGATTAGTTTGATTATTCTAACATCATCAAGTCACAGAATATGTTCTTATGCGCTTTATGTATGTCGTTTTAAAACGAAAAAATTCTGATGCCAATATCTTTCCAGACTTACAACTTATCGTCGGAAGTCCTGGAACCGGAAATTTACTATTTCAAAACTCCAGTCACTATGGAAAAGGTTTGTTAGTTTTTAAGAATTCATTTTGTGCATTTATTTAAATTGAAGTAGAAAAAAATTGGTTTAAGAGACTTTTGTTGAATATATCGTCATTCCCAAGTAATCATATCATTCAACAATATTTTCATTAAATTTTCGAAATTTTGAATTATTTTTTGGAAAAGTGGAATATTCATGTATTTTCGATCTTTTTTTAGTGGGTAGTATAAAGCTATGCTGATGTAAATAAAGCGAAGACACAACACTGTTATAAATTTTGAGTGATAAGTTTTGTATCGTATTAAGCGTACTGAGTAGAAATGAATGTTGATGTTAATTCTAAATATTAATTTGAACTTGTATCCAAGCATTTCTCGAAAATTCTTGAAAGTGTAGCATTAGTGAATGTCATTCAGAAGAATGAAGTATTCGTGGAATTCTATCGTTTTATCAAAGCAGATGACAAGTGTTGAGAAATGTAGCGAGATTATCAGCTAAGCAAATATAGAAACTTTTTAATTGATTAAATTTTTTATATGCGATTATGAGATCTCAACCTCGATTACCCCTTCACAATTAATGTTACTTGAACGATCATATCAAATTGTAGTAAGTGGTGGTCAGCGAACCTGAGCAGTAGTCGACGATTCATCTCGAATTCCTCTTGATAATAAGCTCTCATCTTTTTTCATTTTCTCAGTTCCTTATCTTGCCGCTCTTATCACCCTACCTATTCTAACATTAACATTGCTAGCATCCGATTACTTTTTCTCTCTCTTAATTTTTTCTTTTATCTCTCAGCATGTATAGTAAACGCGCTATCTATATGTAGTAAATGCATACTGTATATGCTGATCAGTCGTATCGTTTTTGTTTATTGCTATCGATCTGAAAAAAAGAAATTGACATATAGATTAGTGTAAATGATTGTATTGGGAAGATAGTTAATAATTCTTATTTAAACAGTTTA